CGGTTCCCCCTTTGCGAGAGGTCTGGTGATTGCTATAGTAGTTTACAGGGTAGTGTTTGTCCTTAAGTAGCGTGTTTGAGTCCGATCTGAGGTGGGTTTCCTGTAGGAGGGCAATGGAGACATGTTGTCTCTTGAGATTTCTTAGAAGGTGAGATCTCTTTTCGGGTGTATTTAGACCCCTGCAGTTCTGCGACCTTACGACCAGTTCAGCCGGGATGTACGCCATCTGTGGTCCTGTGTAGGCTATTTGGTGGTTCTGGGTTCTCGTATAGCTCCTTCGTCCGTCTATTCAGTTCTGGTCTCTTTGGTGATGTGGGTCCAGGTGCGTCCCAGAGAGAGGCCTCTCGTTGTGGGTCGGGAGGAGAGAAGGAAGGGAGGGAGAAAAAAAAAAAGGGGGGAAGTAGGAGAGAGAGTGAAGGGAGGAGAAATTGAACAGTAGTGGAAAAAATGAACAGCGGTAGCGACTACAGCTCAGTGAGGTTCGTGTATGCGGTGTGTGACTATTTCTTCCAGCTAGTTTGGCGATTATTCGTCGTCGCCGTGTGTGGCCTTAGTTGGGTTGTGTGTAGCGTGTCAGGGCGTGGGGTAAAGTAACCGTTACCCCAATTTGGGGTGACTCCGTGTACCCTGGTGGGCAACCAATGCCGTACCACCGGTTTGTGTCCCGGCAAGGCTTCGGCCTTGGCTCCCCCAGTGGGTCCGTCTACACGGATATGTGGTCAGGAAGTGGCCTGATCCTGTTGGTCTCTGTTGCAGTCGCAGTGACTAGATGTTGGGTGTGTGGCTCGATCGAATGTGGTAGCAGAGTCAGCGTTCCCACTATGTTGATCTCAGCTAAGGTGTGCATTAGTCTAGGTTATAGTTAGCTCATGTGAATCCTTGACAATGGGTCTGATAGTTAGGTCGTGTTGTACTTCTCCCGTGTCTGGTGGCTCGCTCATCCCCAGAGAGTCGTCCCGGGCAAGGTGCGTTTGAGTCTGCGGGGGTTGGAGCGCAACTCAGACGTTCCGTTGCCAGGTCTGAGGTGGGGTGCTTGCGTGTGGTGTACGTAATGAGGGTGCAATTCTAGTTGTAGTCTCTGTTATGGTAGCAGTGTTCTGCGTGTATGTCCTGTCTGTCAAGGTCATTCTGTGTGGTAGGCTCCTGGGCAGGGGGGGGGTGTCCCGTATCCGAACGTTAGCTATGTTTTGGGTTAGCTCCGTGTGTCTTTAGTACATGTTCGTCTACCTGTCTATTAATGGGGTGGGTTCCCTGTCCATTCTAGGGTGAGGCCGATCATGATGTAGCCCTCTGTTTCAGCCCCTACAATAACCTCCATCGCCGTGGCTTGTGGGCAGCTAGCTTTCCTTCCCCTTGCGTCTCTCAACTATCCCCACTCCCACTACCTCTTCCTGTGAGCGGTTCCGTGGAGTTGTCTAGGGTATTGTCATAGGCCTTGCGGGATCGGGGGGTTGTGCCACGTTGAATTTTTTTATTTTTTTTTTTTAAATATGAGGTAAAATTAGTATCATCCACCCCTGTCCCCTCCCTCCCCCCCCGCTAACTGCATTTTGTGAGAGCTTCCCAGTCTACCCCCCCTCTTACGTCCCTAGACTCTCTCTTCCCTTGGGATGTGCTTCCCATCTCCCTAGTTCCCTAGTTTCCCCTACCGACGCCGAAGCGCCCCCCTCCCTGTTCCGGCCGACTCCCGGCAGCGGCGTCAGCTTCTTCCTCTCTCCACCACCTCACTTACGTATCCTCATTAGTAAGACCCTTTTGCAGTTCGCTTCAAGTTTTTTTTTTATTTTTATTTTTTTTCCCCCTTCCCCCCCCTCCTCCCCCCTCCCCCCAGTTTTCAAAGTATTCGTACTCCCAGTCTCAGTAGTTAGCCTATGAGATTGCAGTAGCATACGTATCCCCCGCCCCTGCCCTCCATAATCCTCCCTCCCAAAGTAGAATCGACCCAAAGGTGATGCGTCCATAGTTGCGGGCCCTCTCAGGATGTTGTCCCCCTTGCCCCTCGCCTTGATGCTCATGCATAGCTACAAAAGTCTGTGTTTGTCATCTTGTCAGTGTCTGAATGTCATTTGCACTTATCTGGTTGTCCCGTGTAGATGGTGTGTGCGTCCGCAGTTCCTTTTTGCCCCTCGGAATGTTCGCCGCCATGGCCGCCAGTTGTGGAGGTGTTAGACTCCCGGTTGTGCAGGATGGTGTGCTGGGTTTTGTGGTCTGCGTGCCGGTCTTCTCTGTGGCGAGTCATCTCTGCGCCGTCTCTGTGCCCTGGGTGCTGGTTGGTTGGGTCTCAGCTCCGACGGATTCAGGATCCAGTCCGTGACCTCCGTATGCGGCAATCCCATGCTTTGTAAAAAGGCCGGTACTTCGTTGGGCCAGCGGAGCGATTTCCATTCATTGTTGTGTCTGGCCAAAAGGCAGAAGGGGAATCCCCACTTATATGGTATGTTACCGTTTCGTAGTATCTGAGTCACCGGTCTCAGCGCTCTGCGGGCCTCTAGCGTAAGTGGGGAGAGGTCTTGGTACAGGGCTACCTCTGCGCCTTGAAACCGCCAGGTTGGTCTCGATCTTGCTTTGTTCATTATCAGCTCCTTGACTTTGTATTCATGGAGACAGCATATGATATCTCTGGGTGCGTTGTCTGCAGCACGTGGCCTCAGGGCTCTATGCGCTCTATCAAATTCTATGCGCTGTGGTGATTCTGGACCTAGTATGTCCCTGAACAGGGCGGTTAGTAAGGTCGGTACATCTTCTTCCCCAGCCATTGCTTCTGGTAGATTGCGTATTCTGATGTTCGATCTGCGACCCCTGTTGTCTAGGTCCTCAGTCTGTCTTCTTAGTTGCAGGAGCATATTGCCCTGTCTGGTCACTGCTGCATCAGTGGCCTCCAATCTGCCTGCTGTTGTGGTTTCCAATTGTTTCAAGCGCCCATCTTGTGCTGTAAGGTCCCTCTGGATTGTAGCTACTTCAGACCTTATAACCTCATGCAGTGTGGCAGAGAGTGCCTGGAGGTCTGTTTTTGTGACCATACTCCCAGAGAGGGCTCTGATGTCGGCCCTAATATCTGCTAGGGAGGGTTCCTGTATGTCAGGAGGTGGTGTTATGGCCAGATCGTCGGCCATTTTGGCGCCCGGCCTTGCACGCGTTTGTCCGCCGGGTGTGCAGAGGAACCCGTCCAGCGGGCCGGTTTGCGGTGGTACTTGCGCCCCTTTGTTGTGCTGGGATTCAGACCTCCTTGTGCGACCCATCGGGTAGGATTTTGCTCCGTGTGCACGCTGTCGGTAGCTATGTGGGACGGAGCTCCTCTAACTAGCCGCCATCTCCGACGGCGTTCAGGCCACGCCCCCCAGAAAATGAATTTAGACATCATTTTTGTTTGGCCATATAGTGAATGGGAGACTTTATAATTTTGTGAGGTCAGGTTAGGCTATTTTTTTTATCACTCTCCACCAGTACTCAGCAGATAAGTTACAGCAACAGAGCAGGTCATGGTGTATAAGAATTTGATTTCCAGTTTCAGGTGTGTGCTTATGGCGGTAGTGATGTGAACAAGATTGGAGTGAGAAAAGATTAACAAAAATATCAGTAGGGTCATATTTGGATTGGAAAACTGCAGTTAAAGGATTGGAGTAACCCATTAAATACAATGAAATTAACTTTGACTTTTAAAGTTGTGTAATAGTTATGTAATAAAGTTGTTTTCATTAACATTAGACATTCAAGAAAATTCTAGATGGAAATAATATTACTCTTAGCAAATATAGCTTGTTTTTCTGGTGCCAGATCTTTAAAAATAACAGCTTGCAAGCTTCCAACTTGGCAATATTAATAATCATGCAATGTTAAAAAGAAGATAATAAAGACAAAAGTGTAGGTGTCTCTTTTAGTAATTATAAGTAACAATTTTGACATATTGTACAAAATAAATAATGGAAGAGTTGTTGCCTACGTAATTTGATGAGTATCAATGAACATATTTTTGTGTTTTATATATTAGTGCTTGCATAGAATTACATTGTTCTTAGTTTCGTGATATTTAATATGAGCCAAATAGAAAAACATTTGGAAGCTTGGAAACCCATAATTTATCAGACTCAAATATAGCCAGAAAGATGGAAACCTTATAATGTGCCAAAAAGTATGTCAGCTTTTCCCATGGTGTATTTCAGACAAAATGGTCATATTTTTGCAAGCAAGGGCCAGCAGTGAAAATATAATGGACATCACAAGGCACTAGCTCTATGTACAAGCCAACACTAGTGTTCATTGCTTAGTTCTGCCCAGAATATTTTAAACTGCAGTGGGGATATTGGTGGCTCAGAATATTTTGGTCTGGGTATATATATTCTGACAATGCTTTTGGAAAAATGGTATAAAAGTAACAAGGACTTTTTTCAGTTAATTGGCCACTGTTTGCCAAATCGGCTTATAGGCTATTCATGCATAAATGAGCTAAAGTGTTGAAAGTAGAGACCTGTCTGCCTTATGGTAGTTTTTTTTTTTTTTTTGCTCAAACACTGTCAGGGTTATTTACTAAAGTGTCATTTTTTTTTTTTTATGAATTCAGAGTGAATTTCAACTCAGAGGCCAAAGCTGGAAGTATATCTGACTTGGAGAATGTTTTCCAATGTGGCTATTTTGATCTTAAATTTACTTTGAATTCACAACAGTTCTCACTTTATTAAATAACCCTGTATGTTTGATGCAGCTGATGTACATCATGTAGTGTACAAAGAATAATGATCTACAACTGGCAATAAATCTGCCCATGCTGTAACAGGAGCAAGAGAGTCCCCCAAACAAATTATTTTAGAATATGCCACATATCACGTGTTTTTTTTGTCATTATAGACCTGTGATCACCTTCTGGAGATGTCACCTCACTCCAGAGGCGTAACTAGAAACCACGGGGTCCCAGTGCGAAAATTGCCCTGGGGCCCTCCTACCTTGTCACAGCCCCCCCCCACCCTGTTGCATCCCCCTTTACTGATTGTCATATTATTTCTGCGTCAGAGATCGTTCAGCAATGCAAAACACCAGTCAGAAGATTCCTGCTGTTGCTGCAGCTTTTTTACTTCCTGCTGAAGTGTGGGTATCTGTTGTGTGGTGGTGTTGGAGGTAGTCTCAAGATTCCCAATCTGGCCTCTCAGGCCTTGTAGGTCTGCTCTGATGCCAGTGAGCATATTCCTCTGTAGGTCGGCCAGAGGTTTTTTCAGAACTGCGGTGGTCACTGGAGATGTGTCCGGGTTCATTGGAGCCGGTGGCTGAGGGAGTATGGAGGGCAGCTTCTCCATCTCCCCCTCGAGGGACAGATCGTCCGATAGCTCAGAGTACGTATGAGTGTAAGTGGCCATCTGAGGCCCAGCTGTGCTATGCACCTGTCTCCACATATCGCTGATGTTTAAGCCCATCCGAGGCTTGTCAGCTTTTTGTTTTTTTGTTTTGCGACCCATGCTGCCTTTTCCTCAACTGGGGGAGCAGTCTCGGATACCAAGTCGTGTTTTTTCCTCATATAATGTGGGTTTTTGCTGCTCTGTGTTGCAGAGCTTGCAGTGTATGCGACCGCTCAGTTTGGCAGTTCGGCTCCACCCCCCTTTATTTACCCCCACACATGCCACACATCCCCACGCTTCAACATGCCTAACGTGACCTGCATTTCCATGAACTGGCTTAACAACCACTAGCAAAACCAAGTCATGTGCTGGGCTAACCTCTCTGGGGCAGATGTAATCCTTCTCCATGAAACACACTACTCCAGCACCCGCCCATTCCCTCTCCTGAGCCGGCACTACCGAACCTGCCACTTAGCCAACTCCAACACGGGCAAACACAAAGGGGTGGCAATACTGCTAAGGAAAACCTGACGTACACAAAGACCCTCAAGTGCGATACCTCACAGTAACAGGCTCAGTAGGCCCCACCAAAATAGCGCTCACCTCCGTATACGCACCGACACACCCAGACCCACAATATTGGCAAACCCTACAAGCACACCTTCGCCTACACCCCGGCCACCAAAGAATAATAGGGGGAGACTTCAATGCCACGATCTCCCCACCCATAGACAAACAGAGATACCCCCCAGCCCCATTCACCATCCCATCCTTCTAGATCAGACAAGCTGATGGCCAGCTTCATGACCCAAACAGGACTCATAGACATCTGGCGAACACACCACCCGACCGAGACTTTACCTTCTACTCACACCCGCACCACACCTACTCCCGCATAGACTACTTTCTCATCTCCCTGTCCCTGCTCCCCCACGTCACCAAACCGCAACTGGCAGTATCACATGGTCCGACCATGCCAAAATCACCCTACAACTCCAACCACCACAAATCTCGAGGCCCTGGTCGTGGAGGCTAAACCCCATCCTACTCCATGATCCCCAAACGATGACTCAACTCAAAACAGAACTCACTCACTAGTTCAGCACGAACAAAGACTCAGTACAATCCCATACTGTCTTGTGGGCAGCCCATAAGGCAGTGATCAGAGGATCCCTTATCAGCATAGCCATTGCACAAAAGAAGAAACACATAGCACACATAACATCCCTATTACAAAAGATCAGACAACTCGAATCCCACCACAAACAGACACAGAGACAGGACCTCACAACACAGCTTCAAAACCATTGCCAGGCCCTTGAAATAGCCATGGCGAAAGATGCCACAAAAGCTCTACAATGAACGAAACAAATGTACTATGAAAAATCAAATAAGGCAGACACACTCCTAGCCCACAAACTGCGTAAACGCCTGCAAACCAAACAAATCACCTCCATACACACCCCCTCAGGTCAGCCAACCGAAGTCCTTAGCAAAATCGCTGAGGTCTTCCAGAAATACTTTACGGACCTCTACTGCCACTCCCCTCAACATTGCCACAGAGACACCTCCCTACAGAACCGAATACAATCCTTCCTAAATAAAGTCCACCTACCCTCATTCACATAGGAGGCCAAATCACACCTATCAGCAGATATCAACAAAGAGGAAGTGAAGAGAGTAATAGGCACCACAAAACCCAACAAAAGCCCAGGCCCAGACGGGTATTCTGGCATATTTTACAAAACATTTATGGACACCCTCCTGCCCCACCTGACGAACCTATATAACACTCTCTTGAAAAGCAACCCAATACCAGAGGAAATGCTGACAGCAAACACATGCCTCCTACCCAAACCAGGCAAGCCTCACACAGATCCGGGCCACTATAGACACATCTCTCTACTGAATGTAGATATCAAAAACTTCACTAAAATCCTCTCTAACCGACTACTCCCCTGCATAACCACACTAATCCACCCAGACCAAGTAGGGTCCATCCCAGCACGACAGGCAAGCGACAACACCAGGCGGACATTGAACCTATTATGGGTAGCCAACCACCGCACCATCCCCACCCTCCTATTATCCAACACCGAAAAGGCCTTTGACCGACGACTATGGCCCTTCCTATTCGCCACCCTGGAGAAATTCCAATTCCCAATTTCTTTCACAACAGCCCTCAAAACCATATACTCCACCCCAAAGGGGAACCTGCTAATACCAATCACACAATCCCCCCTTTCCCCATACACAATGGAAGGCGACCAGGATGCCCGCTATCCCCCATCCTCTTCGCCCTCTCCGTAGAGCCATTGCTACACCTCATACGCACCACCCCACGATCACTGGCATCACGGTACACTCCCAATCCTACAAAGTAGCCGCATACGCCAACGACCTCCTCCTGACACTCACCAAACTCCTCTCCTCCCTCCCACCACTCCTCCACTTAGTGGATGAATACTCTGAAGTCTCAGGATGCAAATTAAACCTGGATAAGACGGAAGCACTCACCCTGAACATAACACAGGAAACTAAAACAACGCTAAGCGACACCTACGCCTCCCGATACAACTCATCCCACATCCCATACTTAGGCATACAACTACCAGCAACGCTACACCGCACGTACTCACTTAACTACACCCCAATGATACAAAAAGCAGCAGACGATCTCGACAGATGGCATGAACTATCCCTGTCGTGGTTAGGATGTATAGCATCAGTAAAAATGAACCTCCTACCCCGCTTCCTCGACCTTTTTCAAACCCTCCCCATCCCAATCCCCATGTCAGACTTCAAATATCTCAGAAAATTAATAGACAAATTCATCTGGGACAAAAAATGACTCAGAATCAAGCGGTCAACCATGTATATTCCCAACAGAACAGGGGGACTGGGAATGCCCCACTTCCAAAACTACTATAACGCCACACAACTCACACAAATCCAAAAGTGGCATGCCCCTCAGGGGATTAAAAGATGGATGGACTTTGAACATGACCTATTCGGGTTTGACTTCCCATCTCTCTACATTTGGGTACCAAAGAAATCTCTCCCTCTACCACCCCCACTCCTCAATTGACGTATGGGACAAAACTACCAAGAAATTCCCCAACATTAACAACCCAACCCCAATGACGCCCATACTACGCAACAGGGCATTCCCCCCCCAGGCATGTCACCCAAATACTTTGCGCACTACGAACAGAATGACCTATACAGACTACACCACTTCTACACTGGAGACCAAGTAATCCCGTACAACAATCTCCCCAACCCACAGGCAACATACACCACCCATGACCTCTTCAGGTACCTACAACTGCAAA